ATTGCACCAAATTGCATATGTTTTCTCAGTTTGAGTCTTTAAATATATATGAATATAAGAAAATATCAATATAATTGAGCTGTTTTTCCTCCATATGCTCACTATATCAGACTATATGAACCATAAGCCTGAGGCATCAAATATGACACGCATTAAAAAACACATGCAAACTCTTTAAAAAGATTTTTTAAATATTTGGTCTAAAGTTTCAATGAACCATTCCATTTAAAAAAATAAAAAATACAAAGATTTTCCTGTCTTTTTTATAGTCATAATGACTTTCTATCTCATATATTTTACTTTTTTCCTCACCATTTTGATTTTTATCTTATAATTATGACTTTTTATCTCAAAATGATGGCTTGGTGTGTCATAATTAACTTTCATCTCATAATTTAGATTTTTTTTTTCAATCTAAAAATTATTACAGTGTACAATTGACTTTTTATCTCATAATTGTCTTGTCATAATTATGGCCTTTTTATCTCAAAATTATGACTGCAAGCAATATAAGCCTGATGTATCAAATATGACTTTCAACAAAAATCTAATATGCAAACCTTTTATATATATATATTTTTTTTTTCTTTTTTTTTTCTGACTATTATTTCATATGTCAGGCTTCACAGGGTTAAAATAATCCCAGAAATCCCTGTGTTTTCTATGGCGTAACGCTGTCTGTGAGACATGATCAGTAAACCGCAGCTCAAACACACTGACTTTATCTAGACTCAGATCTATCTGCAGTTTGCATGTCGTCTCTAGTTGCACAGTCCACAATTTAATAAAACAACTGAAAATGGCTACAAAAGTTGCATCTACTCAAGATATTAAAGACGCTTGACGTTCCAGACGTTTGATGCGTGCGCTGGACAGAAGTCAGACGGCTGGTGGATGAACGCCATTCATGTCTGTAACCTAATAAACTCTTCATCAGGATTGAGCTGGAGGGTTTTTAATCATCAGTTCCAGCTCTGACGGGCCAAACGTCCCTCTGGACATTTACTTTTATTCATTAGCATCTATTCAAAGCCACAGCTGGAGGTTTTGTGCCCAGCGAATGATATTACAGCATCACAGTGAACACAGAAACTCTATAAAGCTCCAAACAAACACCACTGATCCAGCAACTGTGAGTTAGCAGAACAGATCCTGAACAGCTAAACTAAACTACAAGCACATCTTTCTGGATTCATGTGTAAAAACACGCACGAAAAAAAGCAAAAATATTCTGCAAAGGGTGAATCGCATGAAACCTGCCATGAACATCTCCAGCTCCTTATTCACCTCAAAAACTGGTTTATTTAAAATTACATTAAATATATATAATTTTCAATATCAGTTTAATATAATGTATATGTGTAAATATTAAAATACTAAACTTATAACATTAACTGTATACAATATTAGTTATAATATATAATATATAATATATATATATATATATATATATTTTCATACAGTTGACTGTTGACAAATATGATGCAGGACAACATATTCATAATTGCAGGTATGCCCTAAAATTCAAGATATTGGGGCAAAAATGCTCCTGTATGAGTTTGGTCTCATATTTATATCATATGATAAGCAATATCATCACACGAGCAGCGAGAGCAATAGGCCTATCACACGAGTGTTATATTTTAAACACAATATTGTCTGTTTTTTCTCAGTTTTGCCAACAAAAATATTACCTATAAAGCCACAGCAGAACTGTTGCGCGTCTCCGAGCAACACAGCGGTGTTTAGTTTCTGAACGAATCCGCGTTTTGAATGAATCGAGTGAATCAATGATTCAAAGACCCATTCATAAAGTGAGCCGTTTACTTCATTCATGGATGAATCAGCCATTTGAACGAATCGAATTAAAGACTCATAAAGCTATTTACCGCCACCTGCTGCATTTGCGACTGAAAACTACTGCGTTCGCGACTATGACAATTTTTTTAGGAGCACCAGTGCGACTGACCTGATCATCATCATATTTGTGATTGCACTCAGGGGAGCTTCAAAGGTTTCTACTAGTGCTGTGTTCAAAATATCGATACGACGATGTATCGTCACAGAGATTTGACGACACGAGTATCGATACAGCTGGCCCTGTATCGATATTGTGGCACGTGTGCAGCAGTGGACCACGCTTAATTTGTTTATAATATTAAATATGCACAATAGTGAAAATATTGAAAATAAAATAATAACTTTATAATACAGAAAATTAAATATATTTAATATGCTAAATTATATTATGATGATAATAAATGCATAAATATAATAAACATTTAATGTACCGATATTAATTATATGTACTCATTCAAACATCATTTTAATTGAATTAAAAAAAATAATTTGAAATGAATGAAATTCTGACCTGGACATTTCTTCAATGACAGACAGTCATTTGTTGAAATGCAGCGCCACCTACTGGTCTCAAACTAGATCTCATACACTAATATACTGTATATACTGTAAGAGGCAAATGGCTCCTCAAACATTTAACACTCAAAATAACTTAATTCTCGTTCCAGAAGATATTACTTGTAAAGCTTATTGTCTTCAATATCTGTGTTTACTTAAAGAAATCAATCACGAAAACAGGCCATATGAGTGTCTTTATTTCTAAAACCGTCTTTAAAACATATAAAATACACAAAAGTATGTCATTATACGCCTGTGGTAGAGAATACAATAAAATATTGAACATAACCTAAAGTAAACAAAGTAATTAATCAGTAATTTCAAACACGTTCTGACCCGTAAACACTTCAGTTTCTTGTACTCATAATCTGAACACCAAACACTCCCTCTATAACCTCCACGTGTGATAGAAACGATACAGTTATACTCTTATTTTATTGTTGCTGTGTATACTTTCATACATGATTATTAATATTTGTATTATTGACAGAAACGGCTTCCGAATGCAGCTCTCAGACTAACGCACCTGTTTCTCTGTTGCGGTCGATTCAATCCCCAATAAAGCGTAAAGATCCATCTCTAAAAGCTCTTTTGTTGACGCCATGATTTAATTTCACTAAATAAAATAATAAATGCGTGAAAATAATATTCGTGGGTTCCTCAGCGGCGGTTTAAAGACTTCTTCTGTGCGACTTTAAGTCTGTTGGCATGTGAATGCAGCAGGAGCGCAGCGCCCCTTCAGGCAGGGAGGAACGAATGCGCCTTCATTATCAATAAATCCAATCAAGTGTTCTTTTAGTAGGCCTATCATCATATTTTTAATCAGTTTCTAGTTTGGTTTCTATTCCTATTCTATTTTTTTGTTTCATTTTAGTTTTATTTTTAACTATTTTACCACATCAAGTTAAACTAAACTAAAATGAGAAGTGTTGCTGAAATACAAGTTTTTATATGTTATTTTATTTCCGTTAATGTTTATTTTATTTCAAGTAACACTTTTTTTTATGATTTTACATGTACACTACCAGTCAAAAGTTGTGATTTTAATGTTTTTTTAAAGAATACTCTTCTGCTCACCAAGCCTGCATTTAATTTGATCTAAAATTCAGCAATAACAGCAGTAATATTGTGAAATATTTTTACTTTATTATATTGAAATATTGCTGTGCTGTATTTTCAGCATCATTACTCCAGTCTTCAGTGTCACATGATCTTCAGAAATCAGTATAATATGCTGATTTGCTGCTCGATAAACATTTCTGATTATTATTATCAATATTTAAAACAGTTGAGTAATTGTTTTCAGGATTCTTTGATGAATAGAAAGATTCAAGATTCAAGAGCTTTACTGTCATATGTACTAGAGTATAATGAGATTCTTAGAATTATTCTTTTTGAAGTAATGATGCTAAAAATTCAGCTTTGAAATCATGGGAATAAATTACATTTTAAAATATATTCAAATAGAAAACAGTTATTTTAAATAGTAAAAAATATTTCACTCTTTTTGCTGTACTTTGGATCAAATAAATGCAGGCTTGGTGAGCAGAAGATAATTCTTTAAAAACATTAAAAATCTTACTGTTCAAAAACTGTTGACTGCTAGTGTATTAATTTAGCATGTTTATATCTCCCAGTGCTCTATAACACACTGTAGCTGCCTGTTGCATGAAGAATTAACTCATCTAAACTGCTAAACCATGCCAATATGATCTTGCATTTATGCATATAAAACCAAACTTGATTCATAATCATAAGATTATCTTTGTATATTCACTAAAATCATGTCCTTCTCTTTTTCTATCATGCATGTGTCAGCTGTGAGTAACACTACTTCGTGTGTTCATTCAGCTCCTGTTTGTCAGTTTATCCTCACGCCGGACTGAATCTCTCAAACATCTCAAGAATCTCATTTATCAACATGCTGGTGGATTTTGTAAAAATATCTTATCATCTGATAACACTTGATTCAATCAAACAAAACACAGCACAAGATCATCAAAGAGGTCGCACAGATTTAGAATACAGTCGTGTTTTAAATAAGATTTCAATTATTTTGGAAAACCAAAAATATAGAATTAAATCTGGAGGAAAATCTGTTGCCTTCCTAATGATCTTTTTCTAAATCAGACAGTTTGGTAGCATGAGTTCCGGTGTGTCTCTCCATTTGACACTTTTAAAGTTCATTTAGGGATGCGTACATTTCCAACATAATTACTCAAACAAGTGCACAATGCAAACTAAAGGAATCATTTTTCACAAAAGTGAAAAGCTGCTGAAAATGTTCTCACCCTCAGGCCATCCAAGATGTAGGTGAGTTTGTTTCTTCTTCAGATTTGGAGAAATGTGTCATTCCATTTCTCCAAATCTGATGAAGAAACAAACTCATCCTAATCTCGGAAGGCCTGAGAGTGAGCACATTTTCAGCACATTTGCATTTTTGGGTGAACTGTTCCTTTAAAAAGTCTAGTGTTGCATACTTGATTCGCAGTATACAGTACTCCAGTTTCCCGGAATGTTTGGATTGGCGGAGTAGCGCGTTAAGCCACGCCCCGCCGCGCTCAGTGGGCGTGGTCAGCACATGTGTCAGCAGCAGCATGAGTCAATCCAACAATCTCACCCTCATCCGCCCGGAATACTTCAAACTATCAGGAGAGACGCCCGGAATGTGTCTCCTCGCATCAGTCCTCCTCTTCATCACATCACAAAGGACACTCGCCGAATCACAGGTAACACAGGAAACAATGTTGCATTTGTCATATCGAAATCGTGTCATGAACACGTTTGTTTGTGTCATTGCATGTCGTCTGTATGTAAACAGGCGCACATATAGATTGAGGGTCAAGGTTACTGTATGTAAAGATGATTTAATAATGCTGTCTCGTCATTTTAAGGCATGCTGTCCTCTTGTTAAGGAGGAGAAGTCTCAGTGCTTTCACTGCCTTATGTTAGTGCTGGAGATGAAAAGTCTGAATATGAAGCAAATGTTGCGCTGATATGCAGTCTGTAAAACACTGAATCAGATGGATTTGCCCTGTATAATAACCCTGTTTCATCATGGATGCACAAAAGAGACAAAGTCAGGTGTTTGAGACCTTTGCTTTCACATATTTTTTGACAATATACCAGAAAAATGTACTTGCTGCACTCAGAAATTGCTAGTAAATTCACAATTAATTACAAAGAAAAGACAAGTATTGACGCATTGAATTCAACATGACAATTTCAAGTAAAAAAAAAAAAAAGAAATTGTATTTTCTTACGTGCATAATCTTTGTTTTATTGTATTTCAACTTCGGAAGTCATTTTTAGTTTGTCAGTATTTGTTATGAATATTTTTACAACAGTAAATTAATATGTGACCTCTAAGAGTGTAAAAACTTTCACAATCTGTAATTCTGATTCTTTTTCTTTTTTTTTTTTTGCCAAGTGACAACACATTATTACAGTTTTACTTTAGTAATGTGGACTTTTGTCACAATTACTACAATTCAGTCCCCAAAAAAATAGCAATGCAATAGGAATTTAAGGAAGTTATAATTTTAAAATGATTATTAAAGGAAAATATGTTTTTTGTAACATTATTTTCACGACAGTTCCATCCCCAAAAAAGTAATGCAATATGATTTTTAAAGTCAACATTTTAAAATTATTATTAAAGGAAAATATGTTTTTTGTAACATTATTTTCACGACAATTCCATCCCAAAAATAGTATTGCAATATGATTTTAAAGTCAAAATTTGAACATTATTATTAAAGGAAAATGGCGTAAAACCTTTCACAATCTGTCATTTTGATTAATTTTTTAGACACTGGTGAATAACACCACATTATTGCAGTTTTACTGTAGTAATGTGGTAATTTGTCAGTAACAGGTCATTTATTGTAATTATTGATTTCCAGTGTAGTCAGGTGTGTCTGCTTACTCAGTAAAAGGCAAGTATGGGCTTATGGGTGTATATAATGATATTTATGAGCAAGAGGCTTGTGAAGTTGCATCTCATGCGATGCATTGTTGGTTATTTTATTTTAATTTTTTGCTATTAAACTGGTTTTATTGCTCTGAATAAAGTCTTAATTCTCTAGATTCCTGTTGTTGATAATAATAATAAAGTGAGAGGTTGGCTAGATTGAATAATGCATCCAGTCATCAGAAACAAAACTGCATTGCTCTCATGCTGTTATCATTCTAGATTGTGTCATGTAAGTGTGACAGTCAGGAGGAGATGTGATAAATTCACACTATTTCTAGTGATGCTCTTAATAAGTCGCTCATTCCAGTGAAATGAGCAAGCCGTCATTTGCAGGAATGTTTGTATGAAATCTCTGTACTTATGTGGCCTTTCCTCTGAGCTACTTTCTTATCTTATCACTTATCTGAGTGATGATATTTTCATGTTAGCAGGTTTGTGGCAAACACACGTGATTGTATTGTTCATATGTAGGCTATCATCACCCGTGAGAGCATCTGACCTCGCAGAGAAGCTTTATCAAGGTCAACACAGAGAAGACGCTTTACCAGTATCTGTGCTTCTGTTCAAAGCCGTTACAGTCAAATAACCTTTGGACTTTCTTGCTGCTTTTCTAAAAAACAAAATAGCAATGCAAAGGGATTAGAGGTCGACCGATAGTGGATTTTACCGATACCGATAGCTAGGTTGGACCACACTGGCCGATACCGATTAATCAACCGATAGTTTTAAAATGGATACTAAACGAAAACTAAAACAGTGCTTTACTATTTTTTAAAAAGCAGTAGCAGTACTGAACCATACTTTGTAAATGAATAAACATATTAATATTAATTATTATATTGATCATTAAAGTTATTTCATAGTTTACTAATGTTAAAAATAAATAAATAAATAAATAAAATTGTAGCTTATTAGTAATAGTAAATGTTGAAATGAACACACTACACTCTAAAAAATGCTGGGTTGTTTCAAATATGGACTAATCCAACCGTTGGGTTAAATTTTTACGTTAAATTTTTAACCCAAAAGTTGTGTTACTCCATATTTGACCCAAAGTTGGGTTGAAACAACCCAGCATTTTTTAGAGTGTAGGAACAATACTTCTACAGCTTTCATTAATATTACAAATGGACTCTTACTGTTACACTCTAAAAAATGCTGGGTTAAATACAACCCAATACTGGGTAAAATATAGACAAACCCAGCGATTGAGTTGTTTTTGACCCAGCAGTTGGGTTACTGCCCAGAAGGTTGGGTTAAACAAAACATTTAACCCAACTGTTGGTTGAAAACAACCCAATCGCTGGCTTTGTCCATATTTAACCCAGCATTTTTTTAGAGTGTAAGTATTATCATTTAATTTCAAGAGTCATGCTTAAAGATGGCCATCTTTAAATATCTACACAAGGCCATAGCATTAAAATTACATACATAGGTTATTGATATTGTATGTGTACTCTCACACTTTATTTGCTTCTATTTTAGAACACTGCATGATTATCTAATCAAAATAAAAAATGCAAGTCACACACTGGACAAAAGCGCAGCGATGCGTTCTCGGAGAAGTCACACACCAGTCACACAAGCTGACCACTTTCAATTCAAGCAGCGGTCTAAAACTGTTTATTTAATCACCAAACGGACATAAGTTTGCTTCAAGAATGAACAATGTGGCATAAATGAGTTTGAAGTTCGGTGTTTAAAAAAACCAGAGCAAAGAGAAAGTGCGATCTGCATTACAGCTCTCTATATGAAGCATAAAGACTGTATTAGAGCCACAGAAAGAGCACA